GGGAGGGAGTAGATATGATACTAAATTCAGTTACCATTAAAAGCGCCCATTGGAGCATTTCCTGTAGTTCAGAAAGAGAAGCCTGGAAAAATGGGGTAATCTCTGTTTCACATTAAAGAGTTTTATGAGGACAGTCTTATGCACAAATTTGAATATTAATGAGGATACCATTGAGTTTGCAACCTGTCCCCATGTGATAGTTAATCTAAATGAACCTTATTCAAACTCAGGATCAAGCTCTGTCTACACCATCCCTGACAGATGTCTATCTAACCTGTTCTTAAATATCTCCAGAGAGGGAGATTCCACCACCTCCCTTGGCAATTTATTCCAATATTTGACCACCCTGACAGTTAGGAATTTTTTCCTAATGTCCAATCTAAACCTCCCCTGCTGCACTTTAAGCCCATTACTCCTTGTCCTGTCCTCAGAAACCAAGAGGAACAAATTTTCTCCTTCCTCCTTGTGACACCCTTTTAGATATTTGAAAACCGCTATCATGTCCCCCCTTAATCTTCTTTTTTCCAAACTAAACAAGCCCAGTTCATGAAGCCTGGCTTCATAGGTCATGTTCTCTAGACCTTTAATCATTCTTGTCGCTCTTCTCTGTACCCTTTCCAATTTCTCCACATCTTTCTTGAAATGTGGCGCCCAGAACTGGACACAGTACTCCAGCTGAGGCCTAACTAGTGCAGAGTAGAGCGGCAGAATGACTTCATGAGTTTTGCTTACCACACACCTGTTGATACAACCTAGAATCATATTTGCTTTTTTTGCAACAGTATCACACTGTTGACTCATATTCAACTTGTGGTCCACTATGACCCCTAGATCCCTTTCCGCCATGCTCTTTCCTAGACAGTCGCTTCCCATCTTGTATGTATGGAACTGATTGTTCCTTCTTAAGTGGAGCACTTTGCATTTCTCTTTATTAAACTTCATCCTGTTTACCTCTGACCATTTCTCTAACTTGCTAAGGTCATTTTGAATTATGTCCCTATCCTCCAAAGAAGTTGCAACCCCACCCAGTTTGGTATCATCTGCAAACTTAATAAGCGTACTCTCTATCCCAATATCTACATCATTGATGAAGATCTTGAACAGTACGGGTTCCAAAACAGACCCTTGCGGAACTCCACTTGTTATCCCTTTCCAGCAGGATTTAGTACCGTTAACAACAACTCTATGACTACGGTTATCCAGCCAATTATGCACCCACCTTATCGTGGCCCTATCTAAGTTATATTTGCCTAGTTTATCAATAAGAATATCATGCGAGACGGTATCAAATGCCTTACTAAATATGAATATGACTTTTTAATACAGAATGTTATCTGTTACCTTTCATTAAAAGAAATAAAAGATTCTTGAAATACTTGTCCTACTGCTGTTGAAAATCGAAGAACTAAGAATAAACCGAGTAAAACTTCTCATTATGACACTTTGTTCTAGGTACAGGCAAACACAATACGTTATAATAAAACCATTTTTTAATGTTTATCACTTTCATGTCTGAAAGACAAAAATAAACACTTTTCCCCTCAAAGTATCCTCAGTGTCAGGGATTTTATATTTAAAGAATGCACATCTACAGTACCCTAAACGTGCAAAAATTATTCTGGTTATGCAAAATATGAAACTGACTGTAAAAAGAGCTGGTTCAAGCATCAGAAATATTATTTCTAAAGTGAACTAACAGACCTCAAAAAAAACATAAGTGGTTTTAACTTATATTTGCACTGTTTCCTTTTGAAACAGTAATGATTTTTGTATATTAAAAAATAGTGTGTGTCTCAAGCAATTTGCAGTTACAGTTAAAATGTTCTTGAGTGATTGCAGCTAATTCAGAGTGAATCAATATGCGTTACTTTAAATTGTTGTTTCCATTATTGATATTGTTGATGATAATTACATTACAGTACCACTTAAGCCCAAACCAAGAATTTGGGCCTCACTGTGCTAGGCATTGCACAAATTAATTGAGAGACCAGTCTCAGTCCTGAAGAGCTTGCAGTCCAGATGGAAAAAACTAAATGAACCTCTTTCCTGAGATACAAATATTAAATGTGGTCGTATAGGAAATCTGTGGCAGAGCAAAGAGACGGAAGTCACATTTCCTGAGTTCTAATCTAGTACCTTAGCTGCAAGACTAGCCTGCCTTTGTAGTGAGTAATCAATAGTTTTCACAGTGGACCATCAGCCTACTTGCCAAATTGTTGCACCTTAATATTAGTAGAAAAAATAGTTTAATACTCTCTAAAGGTTCAGTTATGTTATTTAAAAAGTCATAATCAGATTTAAACAATATTAATAAATTATTTAACACACTACATAATACAGTATAGGAAAACAACATTATACAGTCCCAACATGATCCAGGAAAGTGGATCTTCAGTTTGATTCACTGTCAACTGCCTTTTGAGAAATTCACCTCTATATACATACACTGATCTTAAGACAAGGCAGTTCCATTCCCATCATTTACTTGTTTGTGGAGTTCCTTGCCCATGGTATCTCAGCTTATGTGATCAGTAAGCTAAAGACATCGGTAATAAAGTCATGCATCAGAAAATACCTTTGGCAACAAGCAGATGGGCAAAACACATTGTTCAGTGATCATTATGTTAACAGTAACAAGTATACTTCATCAACCACATGTATTCCTTTTCTGGGCATCTGGACACAGTTCCTGAAGGTCAACAGATTAGAGAAAAAAAGTTGCATACATTTGCACACAGAAGTGCAACTTGAGTTCAAGCCATCTAGCATACAGATTCAGAGCGCTTTTGGTTCAGGTATAAAATAAGGGATTTTGGTTTGTATGGCGAAGAGTAATCATGTCTAAAATGTCCTGTTTGAGGGAATTCAATTCCACTCTCCCATGCAAATCTATTACTGCTTCTGGAATTCTCAATAAATTACTGCAGCTCTTACAACCATAACTCTTATTCTCTCTACACACCTCTATCAGCCACTTTCCTATTCAGTACTTGGGCATGTAGACTCAATCTTTGTTTCCTTCCTCCTGTGCACCAGGGCATTGAGATTATATTCACCAGTTGCCCTTTACACACTAGTTGAGCAGTTTTCTCAAAGGCATGCTGACAACACAACCTTTGTAAAACTAGCTAATCTACAGTGTTAAGCACATTTAAAATATTGATCTCATCCCAGACTTGAAAAGACTTAATGGTAAAACTTTAATTGAACTTTTCCCCTGCTTTCTACTATTTAATAATTAAAAATACATTATTTTGAGATCCTGATTGAAGCTTTGAAGGAAAGGCTGGGAGATAGCTGCTGTGATGTTAGGAAACAGATAAGGGGGTTCAGTGAACTGTCCCTTAGCTACTCTTCTTGAGACACTGTCTTTGCCAAGAGTATTTCTGCCAGGTTCCTTTTTTTTGGTGGGCCTTAGCCTTAAGGGAACTGTGGCCGGGTATGTACACCCTGACTTCCTTAGGGTGGATCAGGGTTGTGCTGACTTTCCAGATAGAATCAGTGATATTGTCATGTGCCTCCCCATAGCGAGACCCAATGGCCAGAGTCTGGGTTCTGGGCTGCAAGGCCTAATGTCCTTAGACGGTATGGCTGTCCATGAGCGCAGGGCAGTGAGACCTAGCCGCCAGAATCAAGAGAGCAACTCTCGAGCTCAGGGCAACATGACATAATGCCCAATAATGGGGGCAATCACCAAAAGAGATGATCATCTGGGTAGGGGGCCCTGGGTGCACCTGAGTCCAGAGAATTCCAACCCACAGTCCTAACAGTTAGCAGAGTTGTTAACCCCTGCATCAGCAGGGAATACAGATTGATACCACTTCCTTCACCTCTCTGGATCACATCCTGCCAGGTTTCAGACTTCTCGGTGCAGGTAACTCAAGCGGGTCAGCTATAGGCAACAGGTCTCCGATCTGTGTCTGGGATCTCTAGTACCCACAAGCAAGGGTTGTAATGACAGCACGGTCTGACAGGTAGAACTTGATAGGACAGTGTGAGATTAACCATTTCTTGTCGAGTATGGGATATGCACTCTCCATTACAAAGGAACTCAAAACTTTTATTTACACTTTTGCTTGGAATGAAGCATTTTTCAGATTATGAAATTCTCAAAATAAGAGTATCTTTTATTACTGGTGCTGCTTATAGGATCCAAGCATTTGATAGAATGGAATTCACTTATTTTTCCCTTTCTAGTTAAGCTTTCACCTTCTTTAAATAATATCTGTAGTTGCAATCTGTGCCTTTAGCAAATGGACTGAAGTTATAGTGCAAAGTACAGCTGTAGTATATTCTTTATTAAACCAATGGTGCTGGGTTTGTCATCTGCATCAGCATCTGATCAGATGAATATTAAGAGTTACAATGAATGCGTGGTTGGATGGATTCAAATGTGGCTTATGATGGATTAGCTAGAAATACATAAATTTGTAGAACTCCCACTGTTCTTCATTACATGTCACAGATGTAAGTATAGATTTAAACAGCGACCTAATATGCATCAGAATAGCTTAAATCAAAAGCTGGACTGTTGACAATTTCAGGGAAAGTTGACAGGTAATTTGAAGCATATGAATAAAAAGTTGGACTTCAAACTTGTTCCTGAGTATATCCTATTACTTGTCTAAGTTACATTCTGTGAAAAATTCCACAAGTTAGGGGTAAAAGGACACTATCAGAGTTTTTCCTTTTCTTTTGTTTTTTCAGCTGTTATTCTCGCTGCTTCTGGTTCATAAGGAAAATTCAAGGAAATATATGCAACATCTGATGGTTTTCAAACAAATGATTTGGTTAGAGAAATAAGGATGTTGCCATTTAGTATTTCACTTAATGTTTTAGTTAGCTCTTCAGGGCAAGGACTGTCTATTACTCTGTGTTTATATAGAGCTTAATGCAATAGAATTGTGATCCTGGTTGTGGCCTCAAAGCAATATTGCAATACAAATAATAATGAATAAATAATAACGCTAATGATAAAAAAGGCATAATCTCTTTTTCAGCTGTCAGTAGATGCCCGGCTAGAAATGACTAATAAGGCTATTAATGCAGTGCAACAGATCATTGAGAAATCAAGAAAAAAGAACTCTGAAAATGATATGGACAGTGCTGGAAGCACGCCTGTCACTTATGAAGAAACTCTGAATCATCTGCAGCAGTCCCTTGCTCATCTGGAAACACTCAATCATAGGTTTATCGCTTATCTGAAAAATAGTGAGCAGGTAATGAGAAATTACACATAAACAAAATCAAATATATTTCAGCAGCAGCATATATTTGCCTTCTGTATCTTTTCACTTTCAGGATACCACAAAAGATATTAGAGGTTTGGGCTTGATGGGATTTGCTGAATATGCCTTATACTAATTGTAGATTAACTGTGAGTCTTGAATATACTTCATCATAAATTTTAGTCATTTAATATAGGGTTTTTTCTCTCTTTTGCCAGAACAAAAAGGCAGGGTGAGGTTCAGTGTAAAGTTTGGAGGTGGAACTTGTGCAAGGTTTCAGAGTTTATATTGATATACAATGCAATGAGAAATTTATATAGCAATGATTTGGTAAGCTTTGTTGACCTACTGTACCATTATAAGTATGCCCCTTGGAAATAGTTAACTGGACAGCTTTATTTTCATATACATACACAGATGGCAAGTCAATTTATATCACTGTGTTCAGGAAAAATTTTTCCCTACCCCATTTTTATAAAGTAATGTGCACCAATCCCACATTGTGTTGAGGAAGGGGCAAGAGTCAGATTAAAATGTTGATACTTTTATGAAATCTCCAGTTTCTGCGTTGTAAAAGGTTTAGTTTTGCATAATTTTTTGCTTGTAAAATAGAACACATTTGAAAAAATAAGCTGCTATTGCAAAAAAAATTCTTCTACACAAATGTTAGATTATCAGATATACTCATAAAAATGTATTGTGAGTTATAATGAAACCTCATTAGTGATCAGTTGCTTGTCATGTTACCATGAGTACTAATGGTGGAAAGAATGACTTCTGTCATAATTTATTATGGTATATTTTGGCTTTGATGGCTTGTCTTTGAAGGTGTTTAGAAATTTCCCTTTGATGATCGTTTTGATAAATAGTGATATACTGAGCCAGACATATCAGTAAGTAAAGATGGGCTGTCTCATGAGTTTAAAAACTGTCTATTTTCAGGAAGTGCTGCAGAAGTATGGCCATTTATATGATTTATCCAGGTCAGAGAAGGAAAAAATCCATGACCAAGCATTAGCTATGTGTATAGATGGTCAACCATTACACATGATACAGCAGTTGTTGGAAGTGGCTGTTGGAAATATGGATCTCTCCCCAAGAGACATAGTACAAGGCACTATAAACAAAATTGTGTGTGTGTTAAGGTAAGTTACTCGGATTCTTCAGGTCCTGAAAAATATCTAATATCTAATTAGGTTTTAGAGAAGTTTGTGTTAAGGTTTACATTTAATGAAACCTGTATAATCCATTGTGCTATGCAGAATTCCAGGAGACGGAGCAAGGACTTTACCCCCCCCCCCCTTTTTTTTTTGTAAACTTGCTCTTATTCCATGAGTCCAGTTTTTGGAAATATACTTATTAGATATAGATATACTCGCTATATATACCTGTTGTATGTCTTTGGAGTGATGACAATGAATGGTGCCTTTGTTAAATAAAGAGAGAATGGAAAGTTCCGTTTTGCAGCATGGATGTTGGGAGCAGGTTCTGGGATCTAAATGGAGGAATTTCTTGTGCTGTAGGATGTTTTGCATATGGACTGGGCTATATGGACCTGGGATCTCTTTTGCGATGGAAGTACAGACTCTGTAGGTAACAAGTTAAGGCCTATATTGTCAAAATGAGTGATTTTTGGGTTCTTAAGTTTTGGGCATCCAGCTTTAAAGGTGCCATATTTCCTCAAGGTCCTATGGTTGTATCAAGTTGTATACCCCATGTTATTAGTTACTTTTGAAAATTTAGGGTTTTAAGATTTTTTGTTTGTCTTTTATGTAAAGTTGATCAGTTTGATTTTACTCAACTGAAGATAGGCCTCCAAGTCCTAACCTTGGTGGAGAGACCTTGAGTTGAGTACACAAAGAGTAATTGGGTATACAGTTGCCTTTTTATGATGGTCATACATTATTGCACTCTATCATTTGCCGGGAGTAGAAACAGACTGTTGTAAGAAAGAAATTGGGGAGACGAAGAAGAAAACTCAGAGGAGAGGGAGCTAGAAAGGAGAAGAATGAGACGGTGTAAAAATAAAATCTGTTGAAACAATGACATTGGGTAGAGCTGATAAGTTATAGGAGTAGGTGAAGTGTAGGATAATCAGAAAAAAAACACCAGTGACCAAATTTGAGAGTTCTGTAAATGATGTTAGGGGCTGTGATCGCTTCTCCTGGCTGCTGTCACCAAGCCGAAGGGAGAGTGGGAGCTGATGAAGTCAGTTATCCGGGTGAGTCCCTTCACTTCCTGGAAGCTGAATGACCCTGATTTACCTTTGCACACCTGGCTGTAGCTAGTGTTGACTGGTTTGGGAAAAGATCCTCAAAGCTTTGAGGTATTTCCTTCTGGGAGGACATCCTAGTTGTCGCTTCTGCTTCACATTTGGTAGGAGAGAGGAAGAAGCATCATTAGTGCCCGCCTGTCCTCCCACGAGGGCCCATATGTCCCTACATTGTGACATTGTTGTGTGGTTGATATACCCATCGCCTTTGGGTGGCTGCGCACTCTACGGCCCTGCAGTTGGGCATAACACAGTGTGACTTAATAGTTTGAGTCCTCACCTTGGTCCCAGCTACTGGGACAGCATAGCCTGGCATCCGGAGTCCATAGCGTCGCTGTCTTTCTCAGGGCAACATGGCTGAATGGACAGAGTCAATAGGTGCCACCTCACAGTGGGGTGAATGGGATATAGAGATCCTGGTTTGCCTTCTCCACTTGGACCCAACCCAGGGCCTTGGTGGTGGTTGGGTTGCCCACCATCAGCTTGGCAGGGCTTCCTGCAAAACTTGTCAGGCCTTTTTCTGGTATTGCTACTGTTCCCCCCCAAGTTACTTCCTACCCGTATCACTCTGTCTCTGGGTTCTCTCTCTCTACCCTCTTAGCAGCATCCTGGTCCAGTGTCTTGGCATCTATCTCACCCAGCTGCTGTCAGTGCCCTGGCGTGCAGCACTTCCTTCCTCATCAGTGGTCAGCCCAGACTGAGCTGCTCTGCAAACCTTTATAGCTGGCTCCCAGATGAAGCATGCCCAGCAGAGCTGAGGAGACAGGGCCTCCTCAACTAGGAAAGCAGGGATAAGTATTGCTGTGGGGGTTGATACACCCCATCACAGGCATTGAAAAGGACAGGTGCAAAAGTTGAAAAGTACATCCTTAGGTACAAAGGAGGCTACATGTGGACTGAAGTACTGAAGAAGGTTACAACTGTATAAACAGCTTCTCTCTAAACACGAGAGTATTTTTAAAAAAGGTTGCTACCTGGCATCTTTTTAGCCTGCTGAGATGGTGTCATTGAAGTCAGTGAAATTGGATGTGTCTCAGTCATGCACCAGCAAATTAACATTCAAGCTGGTGCACGACACAAATCGAAACTTACTAACCACATTTTCTGTGACCCCAGTGTGTTTCAAGGTTCAGTAGAAAAAAAGTATAATTATAGTTCTTGGCTGCCTGAAAGAACTGCCAAGTTAAGGAACTCAATAAATGTAACTTGATAAAAGAAAACTTGTAAGGTTTTGTTTGCACTGAAACTTCCTGGGCTTATTACGGATTAGATATGTCCATCACAAATCAAAAATATAGGACTAGAAGGGACCTTGGTAGGTCATCTATTCCCGTTCCCTGCATCATCACTATTACCTTTATCAATTACACTTCCAGTCTCATTAAAAATATGAAATTAGTTGCACAGGGTCTCTTTTCCAAAAGCCCACATTGATTGGAATAAATTATATTGCCCTCCTTTAATTCTTCATTAATTTAGTCCCATGTCAGTTGCTCCATTGTTTTGCCTGGGATTGATGTCAGATTGACATGCTTATAATTAAGGCTCTGTGTCTGTCAGTGAGGCCTTGGAAGTTATGGATTCTGTGACTTTCTGTGACTGTCATAGGTACTAATGTGGTTGACCCGTGGGCCATCCAAGTAGATGGCTCTGGGGACAGCTGATCAGGAGGCTCCTGGCACAGTCATACCAACTGCTGCTGGAATGGCCCAGGGGACAGAAACATCAACCACTGCCCCAATAGTGTGCATCCCGCCAGCCCTGGGCAGTCATATCCAGCCAGCTGGAGCAGCCTCAGTCCCCCGCAGTCCATCCCCACATCCATACCCCATTAGATGCTCCCTGCAGCAGCATCCCCCAATGTCCCTTCCCCCCCGCACACGCATACACTATATAATCACAGGTATTTTTAGTAAAAGACATGGATGGATTATGGGCTATTAATTTGTGTTTATTGCCTGTGACCTGTCCAAAACTTTTACTAAAATTACCATGACTAAATTGGCACCTTAAAGACTAACTGAAGTGTAGGAGCATAAGCTTTTGTGGGCAAAGACCCACTTCGTCAGATGCTTGCATCTGACGAAGTGGGTCTTTGCCCACAAAAGCTTATGCTCCTACACTTCAGTTAGTCTTTAAGGTGCCACAGGACTCCTCGTTGCTTTTGCAGATTCAGACTAACGCGGCTACCCCTCTGATACATGACTAAATTGTAGCTATTATTGTTACTATTATTACTGAAAAAAACACCAAAGGTCTGGTAGCACTTAATAGTTTGGGATGACTTATAGCTCTGGTCATCTGAAGAAGTGGTCTGTGCCCATGAAAGCTCATGATACCAGCTACATGTTTTGTTAGTCTAAAGTGCTACCAGACCATTTGTTGTTTTTTTTTCTGTAGCAAACTAACTCGGCTACTCCCTGAAGCTTATAATTACTGTGTCATCTGATTTAGCCTTTTGATATATTGGCACAACATTTGTTTTCTTCCATTTTTCCAGAACTTGCCTCATCCTCCAAGATTAAGGTGGATGATGGCAAGATGAGGACAGATATATACATAAAATTAAACAGATCGCAACTTTTATTACACTTTAACACAGAGGAGGGATGATACCCACTCATCACCCATACTTCCATATATGAGACATTTAATTGGTTCAAGTGTGGGGATTATTAGACTTGCACAAGAATTACATGGCTTCATACCATATAAGCCATAACATGGGTTAGACTCTTTTCAGACTGAGTTCTAGCCTCCACTCCCCAAAACCGAGACAAAGTCTTCAGTAGTAAAAGGACTTAGTTATGCTAGATTTTACCCTAACACCTGAGCCTAGGGCCCATCCCCAAAATCCAAAGTCTTTTACCTCTGGGAACTGCTAGTTTTATTCTAGTAGCTACATTGAAAACTGGTCTGAATTTGTAACAAATAACTGTACCCTAGTACCTCAGTGAAGTATGTAACCAGGGATGGGCAAGAGGCTGCCAGTAGGCCGGATCCAGCCCACCAAGCCACTGGATCTGGCCTGCGACCTCCTTGCCAGGACCCTGAAACAGAGAGCAACTTACGCTTTAAAAAGCCAGTTGTTCTGCATTCCAGACACCTGGAATGACTGGGGTGGCTCTGTGGGCTCCTTGGGGTGGAAGCGCTCCTGCAGCCCCCCGATTGACCCCCCCCCGGATGGCAGCCTGTGGCAAGTGCAGCTGGGCTGATGGCTGAGTGCTGTGATGTGCCGAGTGTGGGCACTCAGGGCACTCCAAGCCAGGACTGGTTTGCTGTCCCTCATCGAGTTAGACAAGCAAGCGGGGAACCCTGAGACCTGTCTGTCCGGGGTGGAGGTCGGGTCCCTTTAAGCACAGCCCTCGGCTAGCCTGAGGCAGCAACTCCACGCTCTAAGTCCTAAACTGATGCCCTGCTGGCACTGCTTCTGGCCAGCCTTAACTTCGGTTCAGGGTCCACTCAATGTGGACATGCTAGTTCGAATTAGCAAAACGCTAATTTGAACTAGTTTTTAGGTCTAGACGCACTCGTTCTAATTAGCTTAGTTCGAATTAACTAATTCGAATTGTTAGTTCGAATTAGTGCTGTAGTGTAGACATACCCTCCCAGACCACATTCTCCCTCCTGTACCCCAATCCCATACCCCAAGCTCCCTTCAGCATCCAACCTCCATTCCAGACCCTGGAATTCCTTCATTAATATCCTGGAAGAGTGCAGCCCTCAACCACTTTCCAAAACCTTTGAGTGACCCCCCTCCACCATCAAAAATGATTGCCCACACTTGTACTAAACACATTGAGGATTACCCCTTTGTATGGCATTTCTTATAGAAATTACAGCAATTGTGTGACATTGTGACTCATAATTTCC